ATATACCCAAAACTATCACAGAAAAAAAACTTTAAAATTAAATTTTTATTAGATAAGTTACCAACACTACTCAACCTACATTACCAATATCCAAAGAAATATACAAACCCAATATGCAACAGATGCATCTAGACAATTGAAGACAACACTCATTGGCTAATCTGCTCAACGAACCCAAAATCTCTACATCAACTAATAACAGAGACAGTTACAAAATACTGTTTAAAACATACCAACCAGTTATCAGAATCTGCAATACTAGTACAAAGTTTTTTCATAAATGGTACTGATACACCTGATACCTTACTACTAAAAGGATTAATCCCAGAGGATATCCAGACTATCACTTTAATTCACAACAAAATATTTGTTAAAATCTTACACATGATATCAACTAACATATATGTATACATTATTGGGCAAAAATTGCCATTGTACAACAATTTGCCCAATAATGGTGTTATACGGTAATTTATGATCATGGCCCTGATCCACCGCGGTCTATAAAATATAGATTTAAAAAAAAAAGATGACAATTCAGTAAAAAAAAAAATTACTCCCTATAAAGTGAAAAAAAATTATTTAAGGCGCCCATATTCTTAAAATATTTTCTGGCTTCTTGTGTTTTTTTTTTGCCCAGTACCTTTATTACCTCTGGGAGTTGAAGTCGCAAGTTTAAGGCTGTGATCTCTGAATTTGGAGGTCACTAATTCGAAAGATCTAAAATTTGAAGGTCGCTAATTCGAAGGTTGGCCATTGGACTTTCAGTATTTTTAAAGTTTTAGGACTGTTGGTTATAATATTCCACCAGAGAACTATAAGGCTCTCCTGTAAAGTGAAAAAAAAAATGGTTAAAAGTTTTTTTTTAAAAATGCCAAAAGCTAAATCCATTGTAACGAAAGCCAATAAGGCAAAGGTAATTTTTTATTTTTACTTTTTCAAGTTGCACTATCTTATAAAGAAGCTCTCTAACCCATTTTTTTAGAGAATTAAGTATACAGAACCGTTGGCAGAGGAACTTGGCACAATCTGGGAAAATGCAAAGGTGAAAGCCACTCATGCGGTTATACAAATGTGGATAAATCTATTAGAAGAATTCCGTTTTGATATCAGATTCAAAGGTAAAATTGAGGAGGTGAACTCTAAAAAGGACCTAGAAGACCAATTGTCTAAGTTCGTATGTGTGATGAAGTGATATGATAGTGATGAATATCATGCTAATTTAGTAAGAAGTTGCCTGGTGGCAATTTGGCATTACCTTAACCAGCACTCCATTATAGAGAAACCAGTTGACATACTCAATCCGAAGGTATACTTTGATTTAAATCAAGTCATTAATAGAAAACTGAAAACTCTTTCTGCGAAGAGCTTTGGTGAGAAAACTGGGGCAGATGGGTTAATGAGAAATGAGGTTGA